TTATTTTTGTTAAGTGTGGTCTGATTCAATTTTAGGCATGATCTATTGGCACTTTATTAGTGGTGCTTGCTTAGGATTTATTGTCTGTAAAAGCAAAATTAAAAAAAAAAATTCTTGGGTTTTTCTGGTTAAAATTATTTCTGGGTTAAAAGAGGTCCACTTGTCAATTTAATATGAGAGAATGATGAAAAGAATGATGCTGTCCCAAGACCTAGAGATAGACCTCTCCTCCTAGCTGGCTGGATATTTGGAAGAAGCATTGGATAGATAAAATGCGGTGACTGGAAACCACTATGGTACTCAGTCCTCATTCATCCTGTGCATCATCCGAGGCTGGATAAAAACAACTAGCCAAGTTGTCAACTTGGTTGTCTTGTACAATGTCCATGATGTTTGTGCTTTGCTATTTGATAGCATGAAATCCCATGATATTTACACTGCATTGTTTCTCTCAGAGATCCATCCTGCTTACTGTATCCCCAAATTTTATAGTCTTCAAAAGTTCCTTCTAGACCCTTGACAAGTCTTGATTTCTTCCTATTTGTTTATGTACCTTCTTACCTGCGGTAACTTCTTTTTCCACGTGTAATTAAGGATGAAGTGTGCTGCCTGGTATTCCGCTCTTTGGAAAGAGCTTTTTTCATGTTTTTTATTTTTCAAGGCTAACCCCGAAAGATACTGTACAACGGTGCTATTTTATTTCCGTTTACTTTTAAATGAAGCTAACTCATATTTATTTCTAGTAACATTTTGATACAGGTTGGCCAATTTCCCCTTCTATCTGATTCACAAAGGGACCTTTTCCCAAAGAAGGAAATGAATAGGTGTTGTATCAGTTCTTTGCTCTGAAATTGATTGGGGTTTTCTGAGAAAGAGTGAAACTTCGTGACTATCTTCTTGGTTAGTTATTTGCTTAGTTATTGGTCATACTCTACATGTGTGATTTCAGGCGAAATGCCAAGGAAGATACAGAGTAAAATAAGTAGAAGCTATCAATTGATTATACTTTTGTAACTGAAGTAAGGTTTTTGAAGTACTATATGACTTGCATATCTCTCTGCCTTCCATTTAAAATCAAAATATAAAATTCATCTATATTTTTTATGTATCACAAATAAACTTCTAAAAATAAAATTTACACCTATTTTTTTATAATCCTGTTCATGATTTCTCTATTTTCTTGATTATATGAATTTTTTATAACTGATACTAACTTGATAATCTGTGTCATTTCCTGGTTTACAAACACTTATTGATTTTTGTCTCTTTTTAGTTATAGTTGGCCTCCAGTGACTAAGGGAAAGCCCCCTTCCTGTCTGCTCCTCCCAGCCCTGCTCCAGACTCTCAGCTTCCCAGACCCTCATGCAGTTGGTTATAAATTTTTCCAGAAGCTATTTAACTGTCTACTTTTCAGGACAAAAAAAAAAAAAAAAAAACTTTAAAAAGTAAAATGTGGAGAGAGAAAGCAGCACTTTTTTTTTTTAATTAGGATTTAAAATTTTTTTTAACATTTGTCTGTTTTTAATGTGGGTCAGCCACTGATACTTCATCAAAATAACAGTTTCTTTGTCAAGTTCACGTGACCAAGGAATAGCCACACCCTCAGAACAAAACAAAACACACACACACACAAAAAAAAAAAAAACCAGAATCATCTTTAACCTAACTTTTTATATGATGTCTCAGATCCCCGTAACTTTGCACACAAGCTTCTGTGTTCAGTTGAATTGTAACTGCTTTTTGTATTTGGAGAGAGTGTGACTATTGAACTTGAAACTTTTATTCTGGGTGTCTTGGTGGTTTCTGGTGAGATTGACTGAGAGGGTGAAGGGAATGTGGGGAGTTCTTTCCTATTATGATATGAAGTTTCCCCCACAGTCTGCTCTCAGCTGCCAGACCTCAAGTTTTTCTCACAGTGTTATACTTTCATTATTCATACTTCCCCTTTACCCATAAGTTTTAACAGCATTTTATCAAACTGCACTTATTAAGAACAATTTTTAAAATAAAGTTATAGTTCACCTCACCAGTCTGCATTTATTGCTTATGGTTTCACTCACCTGCTATGCCTGTTTTTGGTGTCTTAAAAACAGACATATTATTTTCCATATTTTATCCAGTTTCCTACATGTATATATTGGAAAGAAAATAAAATTTTAATATGCTAAATATATCTACAGAATTTCTCAAGTAGCTATGCTTAAAACAAAGAGAATATCCTGGAAAAAAAAAAAAAAAAAACTATGGTCAGCTTCAATGAAGCAAGAATAGAACCCAAGTATTTATCATTAATGATGGTTTGTAGATGATACATACAGAATAACTTCAACAATTAAAGAAAAAAATAGTATTCAACCTGGTATTCTAAACTGAAGCAGACTGTCCTTCAATGATAAATAAAAATAGATTTTCATAAATGATAAAATTCGAAAAAGCAATTTTCTATGCCTCATTTCAAAGAGAGTTACTCAATACAGAAGAAAAATAAAACAAAGGGAACAGAGTTTGTGGACAGAAACAGTGGCTCTAACTACAGAGCTCAATAAAGTTCTGCTGATTCTGCAGTAGACCTTGAAAATAGTTGTGTTAGCATAACTCAGTCCTACCTTTAAAATGATGGTTTAATAGTAATATTAGCTAGTAAGTAGTCAAGTGATTGAATGTAGCAAAAGTTAGAAGATTCTAGTGATCTATTTTCCTCATCACACACAAAAAATGAATATTAGAAAATACAGGAAAAACAAAGTGATAAAAAAAAGTAAAAACCCACTAAACACAAATAATTAAAAGTCAAGTTCTGCATATGAAACACAGTAAAATGTGCACTTTTTGTAACATTTAATGAAATATAAGAAAGTGGTATTGATTATTCTTGGTGGTAAGAACATCCCTCCATGAGCAGCATTCATGTTCTGATATTGGATGTCAGAAAGGCTAATAAATTAGAGAAAGAAATCATTCTTACTTCTGGTGTGTCTTTTGCGATGAAAACTATTTTAAAGTCAAGTTTGTGAAAATGCTTACTGGTTTTTAACCTTCATAAATTTTCTGTAGACAAAGAATGCAACACATAATTATTTTTAAAAGAGAATAATAACTGATGAAGCATGAACACAGGGACTTGAACTATTAAAAAATAGAGTGAGGTGTGGTGGTCTCTACAGATGCTGATACTCAGAAATAATAAAGTGTCCAATGTAGATTAAGCATGAAATCACAGAATGCATATCATTATGATTACATAAATGATAATCAATTAAACATTAAAGCCTATTAATATTTGATTCATTAGGCCTGAAGAGAAAGAAGTGGCCCCATAAGCTAAATTCATTTTTCTCCCATTGCAATTGGAAAAAAATAATGGGAGCACCTAATACATTGTGAAGGGTCTTCTATGTACATATTTCAAGATTATGGTCAATATCAGACAACTAGTAGTAGGTCTGGCTAAATTTAGTTTCCTTTTAGAACTTTACATAATTGCAGACAGAGTGGAGGCTGCTGATTTGGGTCTAAATTTTGGAAACTACTGTTTTATATGGTACTGGGGATTGAAACCAGGGGTGCTTTATCACTTATGTATATTCACAAATCTTCAATATTCATTTTGAGACCTGGTCTCACTTAGTTACTGAGGCTGGCCTTGAAGTTGTGATTCTTCTGCCTCAGCCTCTATGATTTTTGAAATTACAGGTATGTACAACCACATCAGGCCTGGACACTGCCTTTTCATTTTTTACACACATCTAATAATCAAAAATATTTTAAATATTCCTGCCTTTTCTTTGATATAAAATATTCAATACTAACTTTCCAAATTGGTTTTCACCCTAATATTCTTTTCTTGAAAAGGCCAATCTTCATGTTGCATAGTTATACTTTTTTTTTTTTTTTTTTACCATATCAAAATATACTCATTAGATTCTATTCTGAGTTAGCAAGTCAATTTTATATGTTTTAGAAAAACAAATTGCCATATATTGTTCTGGTTATGCTCTTAATGGAAGTACCTTTCTCTTAGTCATCATCAAAAGAAAGATAGGAGGAAATTTAGTAAAGTCAAAAGATAAAATCCAACAGTTGGCCAGTTCTTGTTTCAACCAGATGTTTATGATTTGATTGCTTTTTAAAAATTTCTTCTTCTGATTGCTCTGATGGCCTTTCCTATGATATTTAATAGTCAGCTCCATTTAAAAGCACTAGTTTATGTGAAAAGTGGATATTAAGGAAAATAAATATGTGAAACGTACTAATAGTACTCAGTATGTTTCTCATGATTATATACAGCTTCCTCCCACCATTCTGGGATTGCAAATCATAGAGCTTTCAATGACTTCCATTCCTCACTATATTTCACTAATCAGCTAATGCAGAATTAATTTCTCAACAAATTTGTATTAAATAAGTAGCAATTTAGACAAAACCAGATATAATTTACACCTGTGAAATTAAAACAATATATGTGGCAGTTTGCCAAAGAATACTTGGCATATTCAAAGAATAAAATGAAGAAGTTTACCAGAATTGTTGCTTTCCTTTACGAGATAGGGGAAAGTTTATTGTCATGTTGTTTCAAAATGACATTGACAGTTTCCTTATGAAAAAAAAAATAGTTGTTATTCTGTATCGTGGATTTTTTTTTTACTCATTTTTCTTGCATACTGAGAAGGTATTTGCTGGGGTCAAACACAGTGAGATACTGATCAATCAATTGTATTTTCAACTAATGGTGTAAAATGCATCTCTGACACATTTGCAAGTGTTTTCATTTTATATAAAAGCCTCTTGCACATTCAGCATGAGAAGAGGTTGCTCATTAATTTTGGTATCAATACTGGGTTAGGTACATTGAAAAGATGAAAAGAAAATTACACCTATAATGATGGAATCTCCCAATTCTTCATTCTCATCTTTCCCATGGTGCTTCTGCTATTCATATTAGTATGTTAACTTTAATTTGCATTGTCCATACAGTTTCTTAAAACACAAGACACTTCTAATTGAGGAAATCACATATAGCATGTTTATTACATAAACTGATATAAGATTCAATAAAACACTCACAATGTGACATAGAGTATTAAAATTTTATATAGCTAAAGATTTTTTAACAATGAAAGATGGGCACCCTAAGCAAGTGTGTAGTTTTGACTGAAAGCTTTGCCATATTCTTTACATTTGTAGGGCTTCTCTCCAGTGTGAGTTCTACTGTGGCACATAAGGCCTACTTTACGACTGAAAGTTTTGTCACAATCTTTACATTTGTAGGGCTTCTCTCCAGTGTGTGTTCTGCTGTGGCAAATAAGGAGTGATTTTAGAATGAAAGCTTTGCCACATTCTTTACATTTGTAGGGCTTCTCCCCAGTGTGAGTTCTCCTGTGGTAAATAAGGCCTACTTTTTGACTGAAAGCTTTGCCACATTCTTTACATTTGTAGGGCTTCTCTCCAGTGTGTGTTCTGCTGTGGCAAATAAGGGGTGACTTTACACTGAAAGCTTTGCCACATTCTTTACATTTGTAGGGCTTCTCCCCAGTGTGAGTTCTACTGTGGCAAATAAGGCCTGCTTTTTGACTGAAAGCTTTGCCACATTCTTTACATTTGTAGGGCTTCTCTCCAGTATGAGTTCTGCTGTGGCGAAGAAGGTGTGATTTTACACTGAAAGCTTTGCTACAATCTTTACATTTGTAGGGCTTCTCTCCAGTGTGAGTTCTGCTGTGCCTAAAAAGGTCTGTTTTTTGACCAAAAGCTTTGCCACATTCTTTACATTTGTAGGGCTTCTCTCCAGTATGAGTTCTGCTGTGGCTAATAAGGTGTGATTTTACACTGAAAGTTTTGCCACATTCTTTACATTTGTAGGGCTTTTCTCCAGTGTGAGTTCTGCTGTGGCGAATAAGGTGTGAGTTTTGACTGAAAGCTTTGCCACATTCTTTACATTTGTAGGGCTTCTCTCCAGTGTGAGTTCTACTGTGGCGAATAAGGTCTGTTTTTAGACTAAAAGCTTTGCCACATTCTTTGCATTTGTAGGGCTTCTCTCCAGTGTGAATTCTCTGGTGGTGAACAAGGCCTGATTTTTTATATGATTTCTGGTGTTCACTCTCACTTGTAGTTTTCCATATTTTCTTTTGTTGTAAATAGTCAAGATCACAACTTTTATATTTCCCACTTATCACTGTGTGAAATATATGTTTTATGCCCTTTTCTGATGAATATTCTTGGGTATCATGAAGAGTCATGGCTGAAATAAACAGAAAATTAAAAAAAAACAATATCTATTAGACAGGGATAAATATATTTTGCATACATAACATGAAATTAAGATAAAATAAGTACATCAAGAGTAAGTCCAAATCATCATAAAGAAAAAATATATCAGTTTAATAAAAATGTATAGACAAAATTACCTTGAGAATATTACCCCAATTCTTGTAGAGACCACAGTATCCAAGATGAGTACATCATTAAGAAAAGTAATATAATAAAGAGAAGGTAAGTATGTTACTTTTATCATCCACAGCCTTTTGTCCTCCATAAGATAATATTGTGTATTTAGGAAATATCTACCAGCTACCTTCACTCTCAGTAGAATAAGAAAAATGTAAAACATATACAAACATCTGTGGCTTTTTCAAAGAGTGTCCAAAAACTGGTTTTGGTCTACCAGGACATACAGACATGAAAATAACTAGTATATTTTAAGTGATAATCCCACAAATATTCAACAAGGGTAAAGAGGCTATGAACTCTTAAAAAGAAATATGAACAAAAAATTTACTAAGAAATATACACATATATGTCTATAAAATTTTCCATAAAAACATTTTAAAAGAGTATATGGCCTATGGCCATAATACTTGGATGAAGTCAACACATAACAATCAAGTATAATAAATTGATTTTTATATTTCTAAATTTGTGTGATATGATGATTTCTTTCATTGACAAATACACCTTTTTTTATTCCCTAAATATATCATGTATTTTATACTATATGTACAAGGTAAAATGACTAAATAGAATGAATTAATGCACAAAAAAAGAATGAATTAACATAATCATTTTTTCATATAATTATCAGTTTTGTTCTTACAAGGTATTGTATTCCTTCTAATAGTATTTATAAAGAATATAATACACTCACCATGTGGTAAAACAAAACTCTTGAACCTCTTATGTGCAATAAAATAAAAAAAAAATGAGACTTTGACTATAATATCAACCCTACACAAAACACAGTACCTGGTGAGCAAAATTTTACTCACTAAATTTCTGATTTCCAGACTTCCACATGTGAATCAAATGTTCCTGCAACTTAATCTCTGCATGCCACATTTCACTTACTACAAAGTCCTGCATATATTTCTTATAACATTTTAAAAGATAAAATATTTTTACAAATGAATAATAATAGTATATAACTACAATATTTTTACTCATTTGATCTTTGATGGGCACATACATTGAGTCCCTAGCTTTAAACTGAAAATACTATGTGCACTAAACACAAAAGCAGAGGTATCTCTTCAATTTTCTGATTTAATTGTTCATGGATACATATTTAGCACTGGCATTTCTGGATCTTTAGGTCATCCAACTTTTAATTCTTCATGTGTAGTGCTTGAGATTAACCCCCCAAATTCTATATCACTGAAATACAACACAAGTCTTTTTAAAATTGTTTGAGTCATGCTGTTTCTAAATTTCTATGACTTCCCTAAAACATGAAGTACTTTTGCATGGCCTCCCAATTGGCAAATATTACAAGGATGTAGCACTGTTCTTGCCTATTTTTATTTATTTAAAAGTTTTTTATACTTTTTTCCCATAATGGGCTATATAATCTATGATTGGCTCCTTTAATGAACAAATAAAAATAATACAGCAAATATAAACAAAGAGAAGCATGGCTTAATCCAAGTGACAAAAAAGAAAAAAAAAAACATAAAGAACTGAAAACTAGGATACTGGCAGTTATGAACTACTCAAAGAAGACTAAATAATGGGGCTGGGGATGTGGCTCAAGAGGTAGCGCGCTCGCCTGGCATGTGCGGGGCACTGGGTTCGATCCTCAGCACCATATAAAATAAAATAAAGATGTTGTGTCCACCAAAAACTAAAAAAAAAAAAAAAAAAAAATTAAAAGAACACTAAATAACTATTTAAAGAAAGTTTAGACAGTGAAATTGAAACCAAAAATATTAATATAAATAAGCACAAATTGTGTATGTGAATAATTCTTTAGGAAAAAATGAGAGGAGCATTCCTAGTGTGCAAAGCTGAAATTCTACCAATATGGGAGAGGCTTACCAAGCAAAACCAAGTTTAAGACAAGTCTAAGCAACTTGTGAAATAGTGTAAAAATTAAAAACCTAAAGGATATATAAAGAGAAGTGGGATATATATATATATATATATATATATATATATATATATATATATATATGAATGAAAAGAATCTAAGCATGCCACAATAAAAAGCAATGATCCAGAAATTAAATCATTAATCAAAATAGAAAATAATAAGAAATATAGAAAACAACTTACAAAGTATAAGTATAATGAATTTTTCAGTTCAAAATATTTATGATTATCAATGCAATATTGCAAAACACAAAACAAAAGAAAAAAAAATACTAACAGAATTGAATCTAAAGAAAGAAACTGCCAAGTCAGTTCCAGCAGAGAGCATGGAAAGAAACCAAGCATGATCTGCTCCTAGAGGCCCTATTTGTTTAAAGGTGGATAATGCCCCTCCCTTTACATCTCATCCTTTTGCACAATTTTGAATCAATAAGACACAGTTTTAAATAATGAAATTTCTCATAATCCTTTTGGACAAGATTTTGTTGAGTGAGCAAATTGTATCCTAATACTTGCCTTTTAAAACAGAAACAAACAAAGATCTAACCTCTCTCATATTAATATGCATTAAATATTGTTTTGTTTACAGTTAATGTGCTCAATATACAACATAAAGTTAAATACTCAAAATTGGTCATCTGCAGTGAATAGACATTTTATTCACAAACATCCATTGCCAAAAAAATTAGGTAATATATAAGACTCCATCTGACATGATCCTATGCCTTTGATCACATGGGGAAAAGCATAGACTGCTACACTTATGCCAACATCTCCTGTTTGGACTCTAGCTTGACTCATGAAATATAGCAATTATAAATGTGCATCAGGGACTTCACAAGCTGATTCCTAAGTTTCATTTAACCCTGGAAGAGAAGAATCCCTCCAAACAAGAGAATAATCATTCTCCTCAAAAGAGGAGAAACGTTAAAAGAGGAACCCAACATAGTATAATTTCAGTTACTTGGGGTGATATAAAACCATTAACAACCTCAGCTCAACAGGTGTTGGCTAAAATGAGGTTAGAATGTGCTCTAGGTAACTTTCTTACTGCTTTGATTGGTAAACCCACACAAATCTCTGTAAATGCTTTGGTCTTAGTAACAATGTTGCTCCGTTTTTGTACACCAGCTGTGGGAAATTCAGTACTGTCAGGTCCTGGACTTCTACAACCCATTACAATATCTTGACTCACTTGGATGAAATTGTTACATACCTGCAAAAATGTCTCATGGTATTCACTGTTGTCTTAGCAGAATAACTGTGTCCTTACCATCCACATAGTATTTACTAGGTCACCATCCTGTGGAATTTATTCATAAAATGTCTATTCCTCTTGATAAAAACTCTGATGATTCAGTGAATCTTCTCTCTAAGGCAGAATTTGTTGCTTTGACATTCTCCTTAATGGGTTCCCCTGGATTAGCTCAACGGGCTTACAAAACTACTATGAAACTCGCCTATGCTACCATAAAAAGTATTAGTCATGCCTCCATGGCTGTTTAAATGCTTCATGAAGTACAAAAACATTTTCAAGCCATACTTGACAATCATGCTGCAATTGATTGTCTGTTATTGCTACATCATAAAAGATATCAGAAGTTTAATAAAATATGTTCCCTCAATTTCAGTGATAATAGTAGTTTTATTTCAAAAGAGTTAGATTAACTTAAATATATCATTAGTAAGGTCCAACAAGATGATGGATGTTTAGACTTGTTGGAATGGCTAACTTCATGTTTACTCAATTTCATCTGGGTCAAAAAATATTCATAGGTGAATGTTTACTGATGTTGGCACTTGCTGTTGTTTATGCCTGCACAAATTTGCCCCTACCAGCATTAAGGAGATAAGTAATATTATTTATTCAAAAGGCCTTAAAAAGGAGGTGGGGCTGTAGGTATTCTTACCTTGGAAATAGACAGGGTGATGGTAACTGGCACCCTGAGACCCACAATGTTAATGCCCAGCAGTTTCTCCCTGAAGCTATTAAGACAAATATACAAGTGCACTATCTACTTTCTGTGGTAATGTCCTTAGGGAGAAGGGGCTCTATGTTTGTATTAACTGTACCTTATCTTGGTTAGCTAGCACTTGGGGTTAAAATAAGGCTGGGTTACAATGTATGAACGGTAACAGAAGCTATGTGATTTTGGGGTATACTATATGCAGCCAAGAAGAGGAGTGGCCAGTTTTTTCTTTTTTTCTTTTCAATGTGTGTGTGTGTCTCTCTTCTGTTTGCTTCTTTACAGGTTTCCTCACAAGAAGATTTGTAAGAGACCATGCTGGCCCTCACAACAAAAGGTAAGTTTTGGTGGTTAATATGAATAAACTGGGACATCAGTAAAGAAGAACACAAAGGACTACAAAGAATTTGAAAATGTAATAAATATAGGGCAGTATGTGTTCAATGATTACAATAAAAAGAAATAAACATAAGCTTCTGAAAATTTTTTCTGCTGAATAACTACTCTGTCAACATTTTTTAGTTTGGTTTTCTCCTTTTGAACATCTCAACTGTGTCCCCTGCTATGTCTAGGCTACAATAGTTTACATCACTAAATTATGTTAGGTACTACTTATCTAAAGTGAAGGATGTATAACACACCAAGAAAGAGAGAGATTAAAGAATAAAATAATATATATTAAAGAGTAAAATATCTGTACTAAAAATGCCCTTTTTCTTTGAAACACAAATCTGAAACTCATTCTTACAGAGAAGTTCCCAGAAGATATAACAGAAGTAA